TTTTTTTTAATTTTCAAATTTCTCAAATCTAATCTAATAACTTAGAAAAACGTTTTTTTATACCATTAAAAATCGGTTTATCTCAGAAATTTCGATAAGTGTATTTGTTTAGGGCAATACATGGAGTAAAGTAAGTATTGCGCCACGCAGATACGCAAACACACAAATAAATAAATAATAAAAAGAAAAGAAACTTAAATGTATCTACATCGCAACATAACAAACATCACAGTCCGGTTTGACTAATGAGCCTAAACGAGGAAAAATTGCTTTTCTGAGTCACATGGTATTAATCTATTTAAAGTTCGCCTCTATTATTCTTTCTCACTCATTCAGTCTCTTTCTTTTTCTTACTCTTTACAGTCACACATCTATATATATTATAAAATTGCGTGGATTGATTTAAATCATTTTTTTTCTTTTTGATATTAAAAAAAAATTAAAAAGTAGGCAACGAGGAGGAGGCTAGATAAAAAAGGAAGGAGGACAAAAGAATCGACTTTTATTTTCTTTTTTTTTTTTTTTTCTTAACCAACTTGATGTTATCTCGTCAGGATGATATTTCGTATTTTGTGCGTGTTATTTTTGGGTTTTATCCAAGCAATAAAGTGGAATAAATATTTTATTTAATCACAATAAATTAAATGGTTCATTGTTATTTAAAATTACGCAAGTTATTTTAAAGAGAGATTAACCGATTTTAATTTTAATTTTCAAAATTAAAATGAATTAAAAAAATTTGTTTTTAAAAAAGTAAAAAACCCGATTCCGTTTATCGTTAAATTATACGATAAACAAGCCAACTTGTTATTTCCAATAAAACATTACAAAGCAATGGGATTTTAGAATAATAACCGGGCGCGCGCGAACGCGACCCGAAAAATTGAAACGGAACTATAAGCTAAAAAGAGACACAAAACACACAATCAGTATACATATATATATAAACCTGAAATGTACGGACCTGGAGTGCTACAAAGCGGCACAACTTGGAATTTAATAGCTCGATCCTTGTTTCGATTTACCATCTCGCTTTTAAAACCGAAACTAAATTCGCTCAAACCAAAGGAACGACAAAGATAGAAATAGAAAAACATTTTATATAAACCCATCTCGCTTCTCCCTCTAAACACAACCTATCTTTATCAACACAAATTCGAGCCCCTCTCTCACTCATCCAACATTTCCAATTTTCTATCTTTGTCACGCGCCGTTTTATTCCAACTTTCGAGATGAAGAGAGAAAACGCCGCGGTCAGAGGAGAGTTGAGATTGTGTTGTATTGATTGGTAATTAAAATCTTAAATAATGCATTAACTATTAAAAAAAATTAACAAATAAATAAGAAAAGTTCACCTTAACATAAAATAAAATAAATAAATCGAAACGAAACATACAAATAGAATGCGGGAAGGAGAAAGAAATAAAACGGGGGAGGAAAGAGAAAAAGAAAGTTTTAAAGGGGGTGGGTTTTAATCGGATTGAGTTTTTCTTTTTTATTATGGGTCGAAAAGAAAAGAAAAGGAAGTTGATTTAACAGTGGATATTGATTTTTTTTAAATTTAATTTAAAAAAAGGACGATTGTTTTCGAGATTAAATATCGATTGTTGATGATCGATTGAGTTGTTTTATGGTTTGAAATTGAAGTAATTGGAAATTAAACTTAATTGAAAATTGATTAGTTAGTTTTTAGTTAACTTGTTTATTGGGGAAATAAACACATAATTAATGACTTTATGGAAAAGTGACTTTAAAAAAATCATTTTGGCTATATTTTTTAAGAATCATGATATAACTGTATAATTTAATCTGTTGTTTAGACTATTTAGTTACTTACAATTTTAACCTTGAAACGTAGAGGTACATTCATATTTAAAAAAAGTTATAATAATGTGATTTTCATGGAATTTGTTGATGAACGGAAAATTTCATTCATTCTATTCTTTAAAATTCGCACTCGTAAATAGAATTAAAATTGTTAAATTATAATTTTTATTATCTCAATTATTATTGAAAAAAATCAAGTGAGATAAATCGATGATAATAATCGTAACTTATCGCGTTATATAGAGGATTTAAAATTTAGATTTAAATATAAATTGATTTTTTTATAGTTAATATCATTATTAATTTAAAATAATTCATTTCGAAATTTTTTAATGATTACAATAATTCTTGTGAAGTGAATAAATTGCTACAAAAAAACCAACTCATTCCATTATTATCGCTACACAATTTCACAATAAATTTTAGCTTTATTTTTTAAACATTCGCAAAAAACACGTCATCTCCTTCATTATTTTTTTTTTCTGTGGTTTTACTCACCATTTATTTTTTTGCATATTTTTTTGTTGATTGCAACACTATTTTAGCCTTATTCATCGTTATTATCGAAAATAGTTTTCAACAACAAACATTCTTATGCAAACAACAAGGTTGCGCAACTTTTACTCTGACTACGATTCAGATTACAATATTTAACGGATCAACTAAATATATAAATTACAAAGTATAAAGGTTGAAAAGTTAAAAATTAAATATTAAAAATGTTCATAATTAAAATAATTTATTAAAATTATCGATATTATTCTTTTTTTTTTGTTTTTGCTAAATACATTATACATATATTTTTGTCAAGTGTTAATATTGTAATTAAATTATAGCCGAGTGTTTGTGACGTGACTCGTGTTTTTAAATCCGTTACTTTCGATGTATGTGTGAGTCCGCTGATTAGATAACTGCACAACAAATGATTGTTTAAGACCTTTTTTTAGATTGGGATTAAAATAAATAACGGCAACTTTAATTTCTAATTTTAATGTTAATATTAATATTGAAGAATGATATCTTAAATTAAAATTAAATCGTTCTAATTTTATAGTTTATGATGACGTATTGAAATAATAAAGTGTTATAATAAAAATGTAGTCAATATGATTTTTTGAAAATTTCATGTTATTTTTAATATATAAATTTGACAATTTCTTCTGTAATAACATTTTCCTGGAAATTTCATTAATATTATCTGATTGTTTTTATATCATATCATAAACCAGAATCTTTAAGCTACAATTTAGCATACATATCGTATCATGATTCTTAAAAGTACAGTTGATATGATTTTTTGAAAATTTCATGTTATTTTTAATATATAAATTTGACAATTTCTTCTGTAATAACATTTTCCTGGAAATTTCATTAATATTATCTGATTGTTTTTATATCATATCATAAACCAGAATCTTTAAGCTACAATTTAGCATACATATCGTATCATGATTCTTAAAAGTACAGTTGATATGATTTTTTGAAAATTTCATGTTATTTTTAATATATAAATTTGACAATTTCTTCTGTAATAACATTTTCCTGGAAATTTCATTAATATTATCTGATTGTTTTTATATCATATCATAAACCAGAATCTTTAAGCTACAATTTAGCATACATATCGTATCATGATTCTTAAAAGTACAGTTGATATGATTTTTTGAAAATTTCATGTTATTTTTAATATATAAATTTGACAATTTCTTCTGTAATAACATTTTCCTGGAAATTTCATTAATATTATCTGATTGTTTTTATATCATATCATAAACCAGAATCTTTAAGCTACAATTTAGCATACATATCGTATCATGATTCTTAAAAGTACAGTTGATATGATTTTTTGAAAATTTCATGTTATTTTTAATATATAAATTTGACAATTTCTTCTGTAATAACATTTTCCTGGAAATTTCATTAATATTATCTGATTGTTTTTATATCATATCATAAACCAGAATCTTTAAGCTACAATTTAGCATACATATCGTATCATGATTCTTAAAAGTACAGTTGATATGATTTTTTGAAAATTTCATGTTATTTTTAATATATAAATTTGACAATTTCTTCTGTAATAACATTTTCCTGGAAATTTCATTAATATTATCTGATTGTTTTTATATCATATCATAAACCAGAATCTTTAAGCTACAATTTAGCATACATATCGTATCATGATTCTTAAAAGTACAGTTGATATGATTTTTTGAAAATTTATTTTTAATTTATAAACTTGACAATTTCTTCTTTAATAATTTTTTCCTGGAAACGTCATTTAATATTATGTTATAGTTTTTATATCATATCATAAACTAGAATCTTTAAGCTTCAATTTAGCATCCATATTATATCAAAAAACAGTGTGTTGACTTTTTAGTGGATACTGTATATACAATAAAAACTTTAAATAGCCTGATTCGTTTTGAAAAAACGAGATCGCAAAATAAGATGACACGTCAAAATGATTCTCGGAAAAATGAGATGCAAATAAAATTAGAACACGATCAAATTTTTGAAAGTTAATAATTTTAATGGCCAAATCACATAAAATACATAAAAACAGATAAATCGAAAACAAAATTAATTCGAATAAATAACACAATAAAAACAAGCAAAAAGAGATTTCATCGTTTTTCATGAAAAAAATCCATTAAACCGAGGGGATAATTTCAAAGTACCCCACTGCGAGTACAAAAGTTAAAAATAAACCTCTTTTTTTTTCAAACAAACGCGCGCGTATGTGTGTGTATTTGTAAACGTGTGAGTGCGCTCGAAGTAGTATGGGTGTATTTTATAAGTGTACGTGTGTATTGGGACGTGTGTGTGTGTATTTGGAAGGTTTTGAGTGTGTGTGTTTTTAGCCGCTTCATCGAAATATATCCTCAACAAAATAGAGGGAGATATATTTCAATGATTTTTTAAGAGATAGAAAGAGATGGATGCTATGACACATACATACTCGTACGTGTGAGTATAAACGTCCCAGGAATAATTAAACGAATGTAATTAACTTGAAATGTTACATTTTTGAATTAGTTTTTCGAAATTATTTTTTTTTAATTATATTTAATATCATATATATATATATATATACTATACTGTTCAGGGAAAAATGAAACATTATATATATATATATAAATAAATAAAAAAAATTTATATATACGTACAAAAGAACTTACCTCTCCATGATCCATTCGTCCCTCGGGGGTATTTTCGGGTAAAAAATACAACCTGAGACTGGCCAACACTTGTTCACTATTCTTATCGACCCACAATAATTGTAATTCCCCGATGCACACCAAATCCGAGTCGATCCACAGTTTAACAAAAAAGAATTCACTGAGGGTCATTACGCGTTTAATTCCATTCTTCGTGTATCGAAACGCCTTGTAAAAGGTGTAAGGGCCGTGTTGGCCACAGGGCCCACCAACCAACTGCATCGTTGTAATATTCACAAAAATACACCACCAAGACGAGAAAAGGTGATGGTCCAAATGAAAAGAAAACAGAAAGAAAAGAAAATAATTCACTGTTATTATTAACTACTGTTTATTTATTTATTATTATTATTTAATTTAATGAATTGCTTTTTTTCTAATAATAAATTGGGAAATAAAAGTTTGAATGAGGAAGAAAGTTCTTGTTCTTTTCGTTTTTATTTGAATTAATTTTTTTTTCTGGAGCGTGCGCGCGCGGAATCAACGGTTTAAAAAAAACCTAACCTATAACGAAAGTAAAAACGGAGCGTGCAACGCGTCCGAACGCCTCGCTCCGACTGCTGAGCCGTGTCTGTGTATAATTTTTTTCGTAAACCTAAATGAGCGCATGCGTCAACCTCTATATTTGTACTCTAACTATTTTCGTTGCGATAAATCAGATTTTTTTTGAAAAAAAAAATTATACAAAAGTGTAATTATCTAATTTAAAAATAATGCCAAATATACAAAAAAATCTTAAATATTAATAAAAATAAAGATGTTTAAATGTTATAACGTGACAAGTTATAGAAAATATAAATCGTTGTGTACATTAAATGAAATTATTAACAATTAAATTGTTAAAATAAATAAGATCTGAAAAGGGAATCTCAGTAAAGATATAAACCGTTGTAAAGATGGATTTTAGATTGATTGATATTGTTTTAATTTTGCGTCTTTTTGTGGTTTTGACGGTAATGACGAGTGTTACAACGAAGTTGAAACCCGGGAAAACGGATTAATTTCAAAATAAAACTGTTTCCTTATTGCACAGGTTCTCTCTCAAACGATAAAACGTGACTGTTTGCACAACACCAATAGGGAATAATAATAACCGGTTACAAAATTAACAAACAAAAAAAAATGAATAAAAAATTAACTTGTTATTAATTATTTTTTTAATTAATTTTAATTTATTATTAATACAAACATTTTTTAAAAGAGTATCGTCATCCGATTTATGTTTTCAAATATCTTGTAATATGCAATGATATGCTGTACTGTTCATTGGGAAATGAAATTGGAAAAATGATGAATTTTGATTTCCTCGGTTATAATTTAAGACAGTACGGTTTTTTAAAATTTTTCTTGTTTTCATTTTTAGCCTTAACCCTTTGTGTCCCGACGGTACTTTAAAGTACCGCTAGTTTTAAACACTCGTTTTAAACTGTAGTCTATACAAGAAAGAATCTGTATAAAAAATGACACAATCCGCACTGTAGGGTTTTTAGGTATACCTATTTAAACTTATTCATCCAGATGTGAAGTTAGAAGTTTAGTGAAAAGTGGTCTTGTTGAATTTTGTTGTTCAAAAAGGTATTTCTTTGATAAATGGTTATTAGGTGTGATTATTACAGATCATTTTAAAAAGAAAGCATTGAGCTTTAATTTAAAATAAGTCTCATTTCTTAATTTCAATAAATACGGCTTCCAGGAATTTTCAAATTAGCATGTTTTTTGACACTTTTAGGTTATACGAAAATGTAAGTTTTATTTCAACATTTTTTTTCTCAATATTTTTCCAATCCAACCCAACAATTATTATACATCATTTTAAAGAGAAAGCTTTGAGCTTTAATTTAGAATAAGTCTCATTCCTTAATTTCAATAAATACGGCTTCCAGGAATTTTTAAATTAGCATCTTTTTTGACACTTTTAGGTTATACGAAAATGTAAGTTTTGTTTCAACATTTTTTTTCTCAATATTTTTCCAATCCAACCCAACAATTATTATACATCATTTTAAAGAGAAAGCTTTGAGCTTTAATTTAGAATAAGTCTCATTCCTTAATTTCAATAAATACGGCTTCCAGGAATTTTTAAATTAGCATCTTTTTTGACACTTTTAGGTTATACGAAAATGTAAGTTTTGTTTCAACATTTTTTTTCTCAATATTTTTCCAATCCAACCCAACAATTATTATACATCATTTTAAAGAGAAAGCTTTGAGCTTTAATTTAGAATAAGTCTCATTCCTTAATTTCAATAAATACGGCTTCCAGGAATTTTTAAATTAGCATCTTTTTTGACACTTTTAGGTTATACGAAAATGTAAGTTTTGTTTCAACATTTTTTTTCTCAATATTTTTCCAATCCAACCCAACAATTATTATACATCATTTTAAAGAGAAAGCTTTGAGCTTTAATTTAGAATAAGTCTCATTCCTTAATTTCAATAAATACGGCTTCCAGGAATTTTTAAATTAGCATCTTTTTTGACACTTTTAGGTTATACGAAAATGTAAGTTTTGTTTCAACATTTTTTTTCTCAATATTTTTCCAATCCAACCCAACAATTATTATACATCATTTTAAAGAGAAAGCTTTGAGCTTTAATTTAGAATAAGTCTCATTCCTTAATTTCAATAAATACGGCTTCCAGGAATTTTTAAATTAGCATCTTTTTTGACACTTTTAGGTTATACGAAAATGTAAGTTTTGTTTCAACATTTTTTTTCTCAATATTTTTCCAATCCAACCCAACAATTATTATACATCATTTTAAAGAGAAAGCTTTGAGCTTTAATTTAGAATAAGTCTCATTCCTTAATTTCAATAAATACGGCTTCCAGGAATTTTTAAATTAGCATCTTTTTTGACACTTTTAGGTTATACGAAAATGTAAGTTTTGTTTCAACATTTTTTTTCTCAATATTTTTCCAATCCAACCCAACAATTATTATACATCATTTTAAAGAGAAAGCTTTGAGCTTTAATTTAGAATAAGTCTCATTCCTTAATTTCAATAAATACGGCTTCCAGGAATTTTTAAATTAGCATCTTTTTTGACACTTTTAGGTTATACGAAAATGTAAGTTTTGTTTCAACATTTTTTTTCTCAATATTTTTCCAATCCAACCCAACAATTATTATACATCATTTTAAAGAGAAAGCTTTGAGCTTTAATTTAGAATAAGTCTCATTCCTTAATTTCAATGAATACGGCTTCCAGGAATTTTTAAATTAGTATCTTTTTTGACACTTAGATTATGCGAAAATGTTAGTTTTTGCTCAATATGTTTTTTCTCGATATTCTATCAGATTTTGATAATTTCTGATAAATAAATATTCAAATTTACTGCGTCCACGAAAATGTTGTAGCGTAAGTTCAAAAGAAAGAGGAAGTTGCCAAAATTGTTCTGCCAAAGCTAGACCCCACTCAAAATGTACTTTGTGCAATGTTTATTTATGTTGTAATGAAAGAAAGAACTGTTTTTGTATACTGAAAATATATTTTAATGCTTGACGGTACTCTCAAGTACCATTATCCCCCTGGAATGTGGGGATTGCATATTTTGCTAAAATTGATTCCAAAGGCCTCTACTGAATGTATTTTGATAGCGTTTTAATTCTGCCAAAAAGTTTCAAAATTTTTGACTTCTTGGGACACAAAGGGTTAATTTAAAATATACAGGATGGTCAAATAAGCGTGCTAAGTACTGTATCTCGGAAACTAGTCCTTGTAGAGACTTGCGGAAATTATTTTCATGTTGGGGGGCGCAACCACCAGGGGACACAACTACCATTGAATTACTAAATGTGGTTTTTCTCGGAATTCCGCTGTGTTAACATAACAAAAAAGTATGTGCATTTTAAAGTTTAGATAACTTTTGTTAAAACACTTTTTGACCTATCTTTAAAAAGTGGTGGGGGGTGTTCGAAAATGTTTCTAAACAAATGCCAATAATTTCAAAATGGTTGAACGGAATTTAATAAGCTTGATAACGTTGAAAAGAGCTTTTTTTGGACTACAAATCCTACCTTATTTTTGCTGATTGCAATTTGGTATGTTGCCACTAGAGGACATCTTTCGATATTACAATAGAAATTGTGTGTTTTCTTAGAAAAGTTAAATCTGTAGGTCTTACTTTTTTTTCATGAAAAAATTGAAAAATGAAGGCCAAACAAGCTAGTGAGTGCCGCGCCTCGATATCATGTTCCTAACCTAAAATATCGGTGAAAGAAGATTTAATGAGAAAATTCAATGCTTTTGATCAGTTGGGCAATCAATTACCGATTTCGTTCTTGTTTGCAAAATTTGTTCCTACAACTGGACGGTTGTCCAGCAAATTTTAATATAAATGTGAGAGATTATCTAAACTCAGTGTTTCAACAGCGATGGATTCAATCAGCCCGAACCTCACACTTAATTTGTTTGAATATTTATATATGGGGGTGGTTAATAGTGTTTCAAACCTACAACCAGACAAAACATGGAAAGTAGGATTCGAAATGCCTTTCACAACCTACCAAGAGCAGAAATTTAAGGCGAAGTTATTTCCAAGCAAGAGAGGCTCCAGCAATGGATAGAACGTGATGGATAGCAATTTGAGTATTTAAGGAGACATTAAACAAATTTTTTAAAAGCCGAGATAATTTCTTTATGTTTATTTTTGTCAATATACCAAATTTTCGCTTCTAAATGGACTGGGAATGGAAAAACAATAGAATGAGGAATGCTCTCAAAAGTGTGGTGATCGAAATCCATTGAATTTTCTCATAAAATGTTCTTTCACCGATATTTTTGGTTAGGAACATGATATCGAGATACGGTTTTCACTAGCTTGCTTGGGCTTCATTTTGCTGGTTTTTCATGAAAAGAAAGAAATAGATTTAACTTTTCTAAGAAAATTCACAATATCTATTGTAATATCGAAAAAGCCCTCTAGTGCCGATGCACTAACTTACAATCACTAGAAATAAGGTAGGATTGTAGTCCAGAAAAAGCTCTTTTCAACGACACCAAGTTTATTAAAATCCGTTTAGCCACTTTGAAATTATTGGCATTTGTATAGAGATATTTTCAAACACCCCCACCACTTTATTTTTAGAGATAGGGCAAAAAGTGTTTTAACAAAAAAAACTGTAATTTATATAAGCTTTAAAAGGTATATACCCGTTTTTTATGTTAATATAGCGAATTCCGAGAAAACCCGCATTTTCTAATTCAATTAGTTATTAAATTTTTTACCACAAGTGTCGACAATAATTGGTTTCCGAGATACAGTACTTTGCACGCTTATTGGGCCACCCTGTATATTTATGTATATCATTCCTAAAATAAAAACAGTGACTTTTTGAAATTCTTACATGCTATTGCAATTTAAGTACGAGTACATATTTAGTTGTATTGAATATTTTGATAAATTTTTTCAAAAAAATTATAACTCTTGTTTCTCTATATCATTATAAACTACAAAGATTTAGCTTAAATTTGACGTATGCTTTAAATCACAAAAATAAAGATAGTGTTTTATTTTTATCCAATATTTCGATTTTTATGCTTATATTTAAGATAAATTTTTATATTTTTCACTTTTTTGCACGAGTTATCACAAACGATTATAAGAAACACAATGATGCAATAACATTAACAAATTTAAACATAAATTTACGTCTCTGATACTGAGATTTATCTAAGAATTTGAAATATGTGTTAATCCGATAAGTTTGAAATTAGGTTGGAATTATTTAAAGATAATTTCAAATTATTGTTCGAGGTCTCTTGAAATAATTAATCGTGATAAAATTATTTACTAAAACCGCATAAGAAAATAATAACCGGTTATTATCGGGGTAATTAAAAAATAAAATAACGTATTACGATGAGAAAGTTATTAAAAAATCGATTAAAAACATAAATTATGTTTAACAAAATTAAATTAAATTTTGATTTTAATATATAAAAGGAAATTTCGGATGTTTACGATAAATTTTTTTGATTAATTTTCTCGGTGCTTTTTGCTGGCGGAGATTTGAAATCGTCAAGGTTACTTTTGTGAATGTATTCGGATTTTAACTTGAAGTGAGTATTTAATAATTTAAGAATTAAATTAAAAATGAATTAAACAAAAAAATTTTTTAAGATTTCCTAAAAATAGCGTTTTAACTAATTCATCACAATTAATAATTGAACACATTTAATAATTCAACGTTTCAAAGAATAATAAAAAACCAACACTTTGCGGGATTATTCGAGCGAAAATGAGGTCACAAAAGGAAATTAAACGTTCTCGGTTTTATTCCGAGACCGTATTTTATTATTTATTATCGCTTAAAAGATTAAAAAAACTCATTTTCGAACGTCCTTTTTAAAAAAAATAAATCTCCAATATTTTTCAAATTTAAAACGAAAAAAAAATGCGATTTCAAACGGAAATTATAAATAATCATTAAAAAAATTATGTATTAAAATAAGGTTGTTACAATTATTATAAATGTCAAAGTGGAAGCTAAGAAAGGTTTTTTTTCATCTCGCTCGAGTCGCCGCTGTCGCCGGCGGCGTGTTTTTATTTTAATAAACACACACACACACGCTCGATCCCATTTAATTTGTGTTGGAAAACGCGAGAACGAGAAATAAAGAGAGAGAGAATGCGAGGAATGGAAGGCGAGAAGAAAGGATGGAAAATGAAGAGAAGAAGAGTGAGAAAGAGAAAATGGGCGCATGCGTTAAAATCTATAAATAAAATACAGCCGAACGGAGATTTCGTTTCGTGGAATCTATATAGTTACTAGCTATTAAAGAATTTAAATTAAAAAAAATATTTTAGAAAAAAAAAAGTTTTTAAGTATATAATTTTAATTTATATATTTTTTTTAATCAAATTAAAAAAATATATGTAAAATAAAATTTGAAAATTCAAAACAATAACTTATATATACAGGTGTTCCTGTAAGTCGTGGCAAAATTTTTAGTCTAAACCTTTGATTATACAGGGTGTCTCAGCGAGACCGGTCATTAGACGTTTCTGGGGTTCTGGCCAAACAAAAAATTTGAGAATGCAGACTTAAGTATCATCAATTACGTTCTCTTCATCTAAAATATTTTCAGATTTCTAGCACTTCCGGTTATACCGGAAGTCGCCACCTACTTTATTTTTTTAAATGGAACACCCTGTATATTTTTACATATTTGGATTTGTCTGTTTTGAAGGTTTATAAATAACTTTACTTTTTGCAATTTGAACCAGCAATTCTCGAGTTATTCGAATTTTTCTAGAAAAATTTGCTCCAGCGGACATTTGTTCAAAAAATCATAGAACACTCAATTTTTGAGATATCAATTTAGGATTCAGAACATGCTTAAACAACATGATGGAGTATGTTTTGGTGCCAAGAACGGCTGTCTAGATCGTTTGGTCACTTTACTATGACACGT